AATGTTTTCGGAATTCTTACGTTTCCAAAGTAGTAAGAGATTTTCAGGCTGCATGCGTTTTTTGGTCGAAAGTCGAAACTCGGAGGCTTTGTACACTGGTGTTCCTTTGTATTGATATACAGGGAGTTTTTGACATCGAAAGATGTCACTAAATAGAGCCAGGCTAGGTTCGTTCATATTAGATAACATTCTATTGAACCGAGTCACAACCAAATTAATCTGTATTTTGTACTGTACACACGGCCACACTGTTAACTATCCATTTCCGTTTTTGCTCTCGCTCTAATCAAATGGTGATTCTTTGCGATAGAACGAGATGACATGACTGGCAATGGGCAGTTAACACTGTTGCCGATAGTACCTACCTATTCCTTGTCATGATAACTTATTAATACACATAAATCGCTCAAATTACATTATGAAAAAACTACAAAAGAAAAAAAAACGAAAATACAAAATCTCTGGTTAAAAAATATCCAAAGAAATGACACTACGATTTTTTGCCAACTATTCATAGTTTATTACCTAATTAGATTCAATTGTTTTAACACAAAGTGTAAATAACATCATTTTACGATTCGTTTCTGCTAATAAAATTAACATAATAAAATACTTAACCCCGAATTACACTGTGCCTAACACTATGACAAAGTGGTCGAGTCGACCTAGAGATGTGCCGCTGAGAAAGTTCTCGTTCCCGGCAATATTCCCACTGAGAATATTCTCGAGAACCGAGAACGCTCCCGGGAATATTCTCAGTGTTCTCGACAGAATGCATTTAGTTTTAATTTTAATTTTGTTGTTTATTGTGATATTATCTGTAATGTTTCGATGTTTTATTAACTGGGCGTTAAGACTAGTCGTTATAAACAAGGCATGAAACGTGTGAGTGAGATATTGCTGTCTTGCTCACTCTTTTCGTGGCGAACGCGTACCGCGGCTTTAGGACTCGGCTACGGTATTTGAACATCAGTGTGCCTCTGAGTTTTAAGGCCCTTGCTACCCTGGCGGATTGCAAGCGGATTCAAAGCGGATTCAAAGTGGATTTAAAGCGGAGTGGCGACGCGACGGAGAAGCCGCGTGACAATATCGTAAAGCTTCCCAAAAGCTGCCCAGCCGAGCTGGATTCGATGATTGACTTTTTTTTTCGAAGTTGGACCTACCTAACTGGACTGTTTGTCCCAGGTATACATTATTGTCAACAACCTCGAGTGTAGAACCTCCAACTTAAAGAGGAGTGGGTGCAACACGGTCTTTAGACATGATTTTTAAATCTTGTCCATGTTCATTTTGAGACCCACTTGTTGAGAGACTAGAGATGTGCCGCTGAGAAAGTTCTCGTTCCCGGCAATATTCCCACTGAGAATATTCTCGAGAACCGAGAACGCTCCCGGGAATATTCTCAGTGTTCTCGACAGAATGCATTTAGTTTTAATTTTAATTTTGTTGTTTATTGTGATATTATCTGTAATGTTTCGATGTTTTATTAACTGGGCGTTAAGACTAGTCGTTATAAACAAGGCATGAAACGTGTGAGTGAGATATTGCTGTCTTGCTCACTCTTTTCGTGGCGAACGCGTACCGCGGCTTTAGGACTCGGCTACGGTATTTGAACATCAGTGTGCCTCTGAGTTTTAAGGCCCTTGCTACCCTGGCGGATTGCAAGCGGATTCAAAGCGGATTCAAAGTGGATTTAAAGCGGAGTGGCGACGCGACGGAGAAGCCGCGTGACAATATCGTAAAGCTTCCCAAAAGCTGCCCAGCCGAGCTGGATTCGATGATTGACTTTTTTTTTCGAAGTTGGACCTACCTAACTGGACTGTTTGTCCCAGGTATACATTATTGTCAACAACCTCGAGTGTAGAACCTCCAACTTAAAGAGGAGTGGGTGCAACACGGTCTTTAGACATGATTTTTAAATCTTGTCCATGTTCATTTTGAGACCCACTTGTTGAGAGACTCTGTTGTGGCCATCGAGCATTGTGCCTAGATCTTCCACAATCTCAGCCATGACTACGATATCGTCTGATGTCTGGGTGATGTACTCGCCGTTGATATTTAAGCTGAATCCTCTCCAGCCCAGAAGCTTGAAAACATCTTCCAGGGCGGTGGTGATGACGTCTCCCTGTCTCACCCCTCGCTGCAACTGGATAGGTTTCGAGTCTTGATCTTAAAACGGACTGTCACTGTGGCGTGTTTGCACAAGCCTTTCAACTCTTTAAGTATCAATAGTCAATATGGCACAATTGAAGAGACTGAAGCACCGCCCATGTTTCAAACGAATCGAAGGCTTTCTCATAGTTCACAAACGCAAAGTGGCTGATTGTACTCCTTGATCTTCCGTATAATCTGCCGTTGCGTATATTATTATAAGAATATTTTCGGAAACTGGCTTGTTCGGGGGGCTGAAAGTTGTCGAGCCTGCTAGCGTGACAATTCGTAATGACTATCGAAAACAGCTTGTAGACATGGCTCAGAAGCGAAATGGGTCTATAATTCTTCAACAAGGTTTTGTCACCTTTTTTGAAGAGGAGTATTACCGTTCTTCTAAGTATCGGATCAATCTAGCTAGCACTTATTTTCTATAAAAATGTGTCAAATGATCCGTCAGACAGGCTATCCACAACTTATCCAGAAGTGGCGAAACAGGCCCTTACTAAGCGATTGTGAAATATCCCCTAATGTCAAATAAGAATAGTTTAAAAAACTAATAACACGCTTTTAATTACTAACAGCACTAAAAAGCCAAAAATCATCAGGATCCTGGACATCATCTAGCATTAAAGTGCTCGAAAAGACAAATCCAAAGAACCCAAACTCGATGAGTCTCCGCCGTTTCGTTTAGGAGTTCCTATGGCTACCTCCATCATTAGGACCCTGAACATTATCTAGCACTTAAAGATCTCGAAAAGACATCCAATGAACCCAAACTCGATGTGATTCCGCCGTTTAGTTTAGGAGTTCTTTTGGCCACCTTCCAGTCCCATAGATTCTAAGATTCCATTACATAGTTAGTTACATACACGACGACCTAATAAGAGCGTGTTAAAAACGAAAAAATGGACAGTTACATTATTTAATTACGTGTAAAAAGAAATTTCTATCATCTTACATATCATTAAAACGACATTTCACGACGAAAAAAAATAAAATATTATAAAGGTGCAGTTGCCAAGAATATTGCCGAGAAAATTCCCGAGAATATTCTCGGGAACACTGAGAATATAGCCTTTCACTGCAAATAGAGTGTATTGTTTAATATACACTTATCTGTTGACTTAATTTAATACTATTTTACTTAAGAAAGTTTGTTTATTTCCATTTGATAAACATGTTTCTCAACCTTTCTCACTTAGGAGAACGCTCCCGGGAACGCTCCCGAGAATATTCTCAGCTGAGAGAGCGTTCTCGGGAACGGCACATCAATAAGTCGACCGACGCAAATAAACGCGTTGACGAATGCATGACATTTGTTTGGCCCTCGTTTGTTAACCCCTCGCGCGCGGAATTGCCCGCATTACCGCGCGCGATCGGCGCTGTCAAATTGGTCATTTTGGCCCGGCCCGTTTCGTATTTTGCGAATTTAAAAAGTTTATTCAATTCCAGTTGGTTTTTTATGACACTGAAATTCATTGGTACTGAAATGTAAGAACAATTCATTGCTGTTCAAAATCACGTTTTGTTTTATATGTTGTGTTTTCATGTGTGTAGTTCGTCAAAATCTCTTTAAGGCAAGGACCTGAGTACAAGTGGGTACAAGTACTTTACCGTTATTAATTAATTAATTAATGAACTTTCTGAATTCATTGAAATTATCTCGTTTTCCACTTTTTTATTTCAGACTAAATGAGTACCAACTACATACTTACCAAGTATATTAAAATATTATAACTGCACACACATTCACTTTGATCCAACCGTTTCAACAATGCTCGACTTTCTTCTTTAACACTAGCATCGCGCGTGATTTCAAGCCATAAAGCATTTGTTTGCAGTTTGCATATTATAAAAGAATATTCTAGAAACGGCACGCAGCAACCGCAAGCGCACGGCAGCTGCGCAATTTGCGCACGTAATCTCCGAGACAAATTGACGCTGCCTTTGAGGTGCAATACACCACGCGATGGTCTTATGCAGGGTTAGCTATTTTTATGCAATTTTGTGCTTTGTGAAAATGGCGGAGACGCTAATAGGATGGGAAAGCAGGTGTTCGGATATGCATTGATCATTTGGTTTGTTGTGGTTTTGATATGTGTTTACTACAGTGGCAGTATCTAGGATCCAAGAAGCAATATTTATAATAATAGGCTAGTTGCCTAAAAAAATTTTTTTAGTCCGTAATGTTTAATATCAAAAAATATTGGACACATATATTTTTATTTATCAATCTTACAAATAATTACATAGTTATGGTGCGTTGAAGTTGCGCACGACGTCACAACGTGCGGCATTTTTAAGCAAGCGTTGACGTCACGGGCCTCTTCTTATGAACTTTGGGGCGCTTTATCTCTTTAAATTTTCATTAGTTTGAAAAAGTGAAAAATACGTGTAGAGTATTTTTTGATAATTTAACTGACGGACTAATTAAAACTCTTGCTTTTTGACCCAGGCAACATCCCCATTATCCTGCTTTCGCCTCCGAGATTTATTTTACCATGTAGTACCCCTGTACGACAAGCCAATCCGCACACAATATTCAGCGCAGTAGTAGTAAAAAACAAAAGAGCGGGCAACCCCACCCCTACCACGCTGTGGGCTCGGTGTCCGAGCGGTCTCATTCCTTTGTGCGCACGCGCNCCGCAGTGGATAATGAGCACATGTTACCCGACTGCGCCAGAAGGAGGGTTATGTTTTCTAACTTTACTGAGTTTCGAATTCAGCGCATTAGTTGGCATCTCTCTATATGTCTATGACACAACCTGTTTCCTAATGTAAAAAAGACGTGTTGCGAACTTTTTGGCAACCTTGGGTGTCTCGAAGTATTTGATGCTGACTATTCAACAACTACAAGGTCTTTTCAAGACTGATACACATTGGTGTATTGGCTCCAAGAACTACCAAACCTTTGCAAACATAACCAATCTATGAATGCGGTAAATTGTTGAATATTATGACTATTTACTGTTTTTTTTTTTTGTATTCATGGAATTTTATTGTGTCACCGTAAAATTTTGAATTCCGTTAATTGATAACATAACAGACTTTTATGATTAACAATGAATTAAAGTCCCGCTTCAACACTCACTGTGGCCGCCGGTTGCTCAGTCGCGACAGGAATATAAACACGCGCGAGCGATAAGGATAGGTAGCTTGGGGTCATTGGACGAAATTCTACGTGCTCGGCGACCGAACTTTATTTGAAACATGCACACACTTTTAACGTCAACTGAATACAGTCAGCAACCAAACAAGTACCGAATTAAGTCGTAACAATATAAGTACAAAACATTTCATTAACAGTGCACATAAATAGTCTTTTCAAACGTCCCTATGAAACTATGTGGTTTGACAATGAATGAGTTCGTATTTGCATCTCGCTCACACAAAGCGAGATGGCGGCAAGTGCGACAAAGACAGATGTATTGGTTGGTGGTTCTATGGTACACTAACAGATTCAAAATTTTCACGTGGTTTAAGAAGGCGACTGAGTTTCTTCCACCACTTCTCAATACCAGCCCATATTTTGTCCCGAAGTGGTGGTAGGGCAAGCTATATTTGGGACGAGTATAAGTGCCCTGAAAATGGCCTACACTAATAAAGAATCTGATATATCTTTCTCCCTTCTTACAGTAATGTGCGAGCGATGTTTCGCCTTTTTAGAATCATTCATTCAAACCACATAGTTGTTTATTAAATCTAACAGCAAACATTGATTGCTGACCGTTAATCAAATACTGTTGCTGACATTTTAGTATAATTTTCATTTGCTGACATTTTGGTATCATTTTTATTTGCTGACATTTTGGTATAATTTTCATTTGCTGACATTTTAGTATATTTTCATTTAGCAAAAGATTGGTATTTTCAGGTAGAAAACTATGTTTAGTTTAATTTTGGTAGCATCATTATTTAAAAGAGTAAAATTTTAAAATCATTGGCATCACTAACACTGGAGGAATTTTCACTGACAACACATAGAAAGCACTTTTATTGCCATCCCAATAAAACAAGTTGCAGAGGCAAGGCTATCTATGAAGTTTTTGTCTTTGGAATTTATATTATAGAGACAATCTTTGTCTGAATATAAGTACATTTTTATCCCACACTGGATTTTTAATGAACTTCTGAGCAGTTTACCAAACAGCGATGTCATACAAAATGTCAGCACAGCAAGCCTACGTCTAACTTAGCTATAAGTCGGGCAAGCACGCCTGTTCGAACAGGCACAGCACTTTGTGTATCAACTCATACTGTTCCGAGTTCTGAACCATCCCGCCTCGATTCAAACGCATGTTGCACACTATACCGAGAACGTCAACCTTTTGTTCGTTCGTTAACTGTTTAATACCATTCAGGATCGCGATGAGGCATCCCGTACGGCCTATGCCAGCTGAGCAATGGATTATGGCAGGGGGAGATTGCTGTTCGACAGAAAAATCCAACGGAGTGTCCACACTCACTTTCACTTCACATGGTAAGGTTTGAGCTTCTAGCGGAGGAAATACAAACTTAGAGCTCGGCTTCGGACTATCGTTACACTTGCACAATTCGTCACTCTGATCGTCGTCCTGATCGAAATCGTACGTATTGTCTTTCAAAACGTCGAGACTTAAATTCAACAGCGCGTTCACGTCTTTCGGACACTTATGATCCGCCCAATTGTGGAACCAATAATGGTACACCGTCACACTTTCACTGTCACTTTTCGTTTTCACTTGGTACCGAACGTCTAACTTTCTAATAGTATACCCGGGTTTTTTTATCATCCCACAGTTTTTGATTAAGAAATTGTTTTTCAATGTGCACTCTTCGAAGTACGCGTTTTCGGAATATTCTGGTCCTTCGAACACGATTTCTTCGTTGAGCTCGAGAGGGAAGTATTTTTCGCACTTCTGTCGGTTGTTCTCGATGAAGTTGGTGAGCATGACTATTTTCTGGACGGAGGCGGCGGCGGAGGCGTGGTCGCAGCAGTTCTGGTGCACCATGAGCCAGAAGTCGTATATGGTATTCTGGAGCGGCCCCTGCGTGGCTATGTAGCTGTTTTTGGAGTACTCGTGGCCCTGGAATGTTAAAATAACCGTCGGTTAATAATATAATTACTTCAAAAGAGTTAGTTTATATCATCGAAATATACTTTGTAGGAAGCATAATATTATTAGTTATTTTTTCAAAGACATTATTTACAAATCTAGACCTCACAAGTTCTCAACACAAGTCAAAAACCATAATGCTAATTGTCAAAATAATGTAATTAATATTCCAACTAACCTTAATGAAATTGGCGTTGATATATCCCTCACAGGAACCCGCGTCGCCTCTCAAGATAAACCGCGAATGTTCGTTGGGCAGGATCGTCTTATATCTGTTCTTTGGATGAGACCCTGACACTATCGGCTTCTCCTGGAAATTCGTCGGCATATCCCAGAACTCCTGGTGCAAATTCCGCAGTAACATCTTTTGGTATTCCGAGCAAGGTTGCACCGGAAGGTCGGGTATCACCATTTGGGGGTTATCCTTGGCCATATCCTCAACCTTGTTGGTACAGCAATGCTGCCCTTCAGTGGAACTGTGGCATTTGACTTTGGAATACCCGTTTTGGAAGACGTCATTCAAATCTCTCAATTGCTGCCGAGAGAGGACACTTGACGCGTTTTGAATGTGCTGCATATTGGCTAAATACAGTCTGAAGTCTTCAGACGTGCTTTGTGGACTTAAAGGCTTAGTAGTTATGTTTCTAGTGAATCCAGCTTGACAATTCGGATCCTCCTGTCTTCCAAAAGCGTATATAATCTCATTCTCCTGATCTCCACAGACATACGTCAAGTTTTGAGGGTAGTCCGGTTCTGTATAAGACGTAGACCATAAGTTGTCGTGCGAACCGAATCCAACACATTTTTCTGAAGAGCGTAACCGCGTTCTGTTTTTGTATGACTTGGGAATTAAGTTTTCTGTGCTCAAAGATTTTCGGTGCTTATCTCTATGAGGCAGTTCTTTTAACGAACTGTCGATTAAAGTTTCATCAATTTCGAGGTCTCTTGGCTCTTGTTGTTCTTGCGGTTGGATGTTGAGCGTCAAAGATGTATTAGAGCTGCGTCTTTCTAAAATACCTTTCCGAGGTTCTGTTGGAGGGTTGTCTATACTGTAGTTGCTGTTATATCGACTCAAATTACAAGTGGATCCGTTGAGGTTATAGTTCGAAATGCTGAGTCCTTTATTTACTGATAGCTGAGGATTCGAATTGTTGATATTTAATGTTAGGGAGGTGTTTGAGCTTCGGCGTTCTAGAAGGCCTTTCTTTTGGCCGGATTTGGAGTCCTTATTCAGAGAAGTGTTACTAGAATGGCGGCTGAGCGTGTTTGAAGAGTGAATGTTCAATGTCAGGCTGTTATTCGACCCGCGACGCTGTAAAAGGCAGTTTTTAGAACCCTCACCAGACACATTTGTGTTTGAAGAACAAATCACTCTAGCGGCAGGCGCCAAATGTTCAGCATTTGCCAAAGACGCGTTCGAATCTCGTCTTTCCAAAGACAATTTCTTTTGGCGGTTGTCAGAATTGAGACTGAAGTTTGATATACTGGTTCGGACTGTAGCCAAATTGTGGCACGAAGCACCCGCACTGCTTAAAGAACAGTTAGACGATTGCAGACTGTGTGCGCTCAGCATAAGGCTCTGATTGGAATTCCGCCTGTGCAGCTTCTTTCCAAACTTCTCATCTTCCGCACTGGGTTCAAAATCATCTGAGGGCACACCCTCTGGTAACGTCTTCAAGTTTGTACTGGACACGCTCAAATTCTGTTTGTAATTCAACAAATTCGACCCTAACGTTTGTCCGGAATCCATATGGTATCGATTATCTGAGCCTGATATATTGATTTCTGGTCTTTCCATGTCCGAAACGTTTTCTTCAAACGAGCCCATAGTACGGGAACCCAATCGGGACGGACCAGGTTGATATAGCATTAATGTAGCGTGGTTCTCTCTTAGATATATCCCGCTGTCCTGACCCTTCATATAAAGACGCCTCTGCTCAGCTGAAGACTGGATGGAGTTATACCCCATCTTGCCACCAGAGAAGTCAGGCTTTACATTCTTCTGCGCTAAAATTCTTTTAAGTTGCCTTTTAGGCGTGTTAGGAACTGATACAGAATTCTGAGGAACATCCAATGTTTTCTTCTGAGGTAACGATAGGTTCACCGTCTCCGAGGAATCTAAAGACGTCGCTTTTACTTTCAACGTCGGAGTCTTAACTTTCTTCTCTTCCGCGTCTGTGTAAAGTTTCTCAAACTCCAACAACTCTTTCTCCAATTCACTGTCGCGTTTCGTCAAATCTATTGTTAGGTTTCGCAAGTTCTTCCCTTTGCGTTTCGTTTGCGTTTCAGCAGGAGTCGTTGCACCTTCTTCGGACGTTACGGTGATTTCAAATTCTTTAGGCGAGAATCTAGGCATGTCTATAAACGACTGCGTGTCTGAACTCTGTCTGAGACACTTCTTTTGTTTAAGATCAGGAGATTTAGGTTCTTCTTCTTCGGATGTTTTGTCTTTCGCTTCCTCCTCGAATTTGAACACTGGCCGATCTCTGGGAGGCGATCTAGGATACTCCTCGCCTCCTCTCCTCTCCATGCTCTCACACGATGTACTAATATCCTGATTTTTATACGCCTCGTTCATCTGATCTTTCATTTGCTTAGCTATAGGTAGACCTAGATTCTGTTCTATTATTTTAGCATTGTCAGAGTCGAGAGAAATAGATTTTAACCTCTGTCGTCTCATTTGCGCTGAATTCGAATGCGTTGGCGTCAACTCGTTTTTATCGACTTCGAGCTTTGTCTCCACTTGCAGAGTAGCTATTTTGGCACAGCAGTCGACCACATCTTTGTCGATCAGTTCTTTGTCTTCCATAGCTTTGTTGTCGTCGCATTTCGTAATATTTAGTTCGATATTCTTATAGTTCGTGTCGCAACTGTTATGTCTCCTGTATTTCTTGACTTCTTTGTCAGCTGGGGGTGTGAATCTTTCCCTTTCAATGGAATTCCTCCCTCCGTACTTCTTCGGTCTAGGGGAAGCTCTCGCTATGTCTTCGGAAAGTGCGATTTGTTCGAATGTGAAATAATTCTCCTTATTGCAAATATGTACTTTGGGACTGGGTTTGGCGCTTAGTAATATTCCGGGTGAACTGGGCTTCTCGAAGCCATTTCTGTTCAAATTACTACCTAAGGTTCTTGGCGATTGAGGAACTTCTGCATCTCTAGGCGTTTCGGGGAAGAATTTTGGAGATCTAACAGTGTCGTAGTAGACCGATTTAGGGGAAGGCTCAGCGAAGAACATTGGAGAAACTGTTTCGGGGGGAGTGAAGAATCGCGGGGAGCTGATACTGTCAGCGAATATCTTTGGCGAGAAGTCGAATTTGGGAGCCGAAGATTTCTCTTTAGCTGAGCTGCACTCTAGTATTCTCGGGCTATTCTGCATTTCCAATCTTTCCTGCTGACCTTCTAATAGAGGGTTTTCGTTCACACTGCACATGTTTAACCTGGTGCTGACCGATCGGAACCTCCTAAGGTTTCCTGGAGACTCCTGGCCTCTATCTCCTGGATCTTTGGGCGACGCCATATCGCCCGTCTCTTTCTTGGCTTCGTCCTCCAGTTTCTTAACTGCTTCCGGCTCGAAGCCGAACACCTCGTTATCAGACTTGGCGCTACTCGGGAAAGGGGATTTGTCGTCTTTCTCCAACGACGGGGATCGGGTCGCGCTGTACTTCTTCGCGCGGGATTCCTGCGTCAATTCCGCGCCCAATTCCGAGTTGACAATTTGGGCTAACGGTCTCGGGATTGTAGAGGAATACTTGCAGTCTAATGACCTTTTATGAAGCCACTGTTCTGGCAGCGGTAGTTTGGGGATTCCCTTGAATTCGGAAGAGGTCGAGGGTTGGTTTTGGGGAGGATTAGAGTTTGAAGAGGAAGTGGTAGGAGCAGCGTTGTCTCCTTGAGCGATTGTGGTTTGCGTGGAGTTGTTTACTATTATGATCTGGGGCGGGGTAGTGGGGCGGTCGTTAGGGGGCGCTCCGGTGAGGGCGAGGCGGACGAGGGGGGCGGCGCGCGGGCGCGGGACGCGGGCGAGGCGCGGCGCGCGCGCCAGCGGCTCCCAGCGGACTACGTGCACCTGGAATGGGAGAACAAAGCTGGTTCGTAATTATGTACAAACAACTGGTGAATTTGTCCAGCAGTGGACGTCATTTGGCTGAAACGAACGAACCAACGAATGGTGAATTTAACCCATATATGACCAGAGACACGAAAACGACCAAATGGTACAAGTTCTCTTGCGATGCCCATAAGAGAAACTGTAAATATGCCAAATTACATACAAATCTGGGATTTAAATAGTTTTGGGCATATAATGGGCTATAGTCGTCATAATGCACAAAAATGTATACTGTCGTCTATACGTATAGAGTTACAGAAATCCAATTATCAGAATGTGAACTTTTACTATGCGACCGGTCCGGTTGGATAGTGCATCTGGAATAAGACAGGTAAATATTGATCATGATTATGTACACACAATAGTGAATCAAACTAAACTGCAATCGGTTCCAGTTTGATCATAGAGGCCAAGTCTGAGCCGAATGTTCCTAATGTGTTGTTGTCGGCAAGTGCATTTTTACGAGGCATACCTGAGCGTGCTTGATGGTCCTTGACAGCATCGTGTACTTGAGTGTGCGATCAGTGTCTGTCAATGTCTGTAAATGGTCCTTCAAGCCGTATCGACTAGAGATACTGTCTTTGGCAACATGGCAACCTTACCTGAGCGTACTTGATGAATTGCCCGGCTAAATATGATCCTACAAGCCGGATCAGCGTAAGGGCTTCCGCTTAAACTCGCACGGACGATCGCACGCGGTTGTGTATCGAAAGTTAGTACAATGAACATTTCCATGTGCGCGAGTTTTAGGCCTAAATGATCCTTCGAGCCTTAACAACAGGACTGTGACTGAGATAAGTCCTTAACAGCTATCGTACTTGAGCGTGCTTGGGGGCTCGCATCAACAGCAGCGGCGGCGCCTGGTGTGTCGCTAGTACCTGAGCGTGCATAGAGGATCACGCGGCTAAATATGATTCTTCAAGCCGGATCAGTGTAAATGGTTCTTCTAACACCGGATTAGTGTTAATGGTCCTTCGAGCCGGATTAATCTAAGAGATTGTGTCTTTAGCAAACGTACCTATGCGTGCTTGGAGGGTCACGTAGCATCAATCCGAGGGTCCAGGTCCAAGCCTGAAGCAAGCATCTATCTTTACGAGACATTCCGGAGCGTGCTTGTCGCACGTCTAAATACGTCGCACGTCGAGCCCCAGATCAGTGTTAATGGTCCTAAGAGCCGGATCAATCCTAGAAACTAGATCCAACTAGAATCCAACAGTGCATAATGGGTTACCTAAGCGTGCTTGGGGCAGGGTGCACGGCAGGCGGCGCCTGGTGTGTCACTAGTACCTGAGCGTGCTTGGGGGGATGGTCCTTCGAGCCGGATTAATCTTAGAGACTATATCTTTAGCAACTGTACCTGAGCGTGCTTGGAGGGTCGCGCGCGGCAGGCGGCGCGCACGGCCGCGGCAAGCAGCAGCGGCGCCTGGTGTGTCACTAGTACCTGAGCGTGCTTGGGGGGATGGTCCTTCGAGCCGGATTAATCTTAGAGACTATATCTTTAGCAACTGTACCTGAGCGTGCTTGGAGGGACGCACGCCTAAACATGATCCTACGAGCCGCGTAAATGTTCAGGAGTAATGGTCCTTCGAGCCGGATTAATCTAAGACGCTGTGTGCCTGACAAACGTACCTGAGCGTGCTTGGGCGCCCTCTCGCGGCAGGCGGCGCGCACGGCCGCGGCAAGCAGCAGCAGCGCCGCGGCCGCCAGCGCGCCGCACCACCAGCCCGCCTCCGCGCCCCACATGCCCCGCGCCTCACATCTGTCGAGGGCCATACTGGGTCAGGTTTGCGTACACTTAGCTAGTCTGAAGGGAAGCAAAATTGCATAATGAACACGCGATCGTGCGTGAGGTACTAGACAGGATTGTTTTAAACTTTCATGGTCACCATGTACATGGTAGCAATCCCGTCAGTAATAATAATTATGAGGTACTAGATGTCGTAAAGGTTCATACATTCTGTCAACATGCAGTCGCGCGTTTTGAAAATACGTCATCTGGACCAGCTCTGTCTACAGTCGATTGTAAATCATCAATATGCTACAAAAATGACTAATTTTTTGGTCTTACGCGCCTCACATCTGTCGAGGGCCATACTGGGTCAGGGTCATTTGTTGTTCTATATTCGCGATAAGTTCGCTAATAGCTAAGCTGGGGGAAGCAAAAGATGCAAATCATCAATATGCTACAAAATGACGAATTTTCTCAATTGATCTCCGCGTCCCACATCACACGTCGGCGCCTGGAGACGCATGATATGGAGGACAGACCCCAATTAAAATGGGAATGGGACAGGGAGAGAAGATCTCCGCGTCCCACATCTGTCGAGGCCCATACTGTTGTCACGTTTGCGTACACTTAGCTAGTCTGAAGGGAAGCAAAATTGCATAATGAAGATGTTTGTCCAAGGGGAATCAAAAGATACTGGCCATGTAATTTCCTTGGAGCTTGTCCAGATGACACGTTTTTACTCGGGTGTTTCGAATCGCGCGATAGTGAGGTACTATAGTCCGGTCGCCGAGCACGTAGAATTTCGTCCAATGACCCCAAGCTACCCATCCTTATCATTTGCGCGTTAGGCTTTAGAGGTTTTTACATTCTGCCACTATTATGCAATCCCGCGTTTTGAAAACTCGAGTGAAAATTCGTCGTCTGGACCAGCTCTGTCTATAGTTGCTTGCAAATCATCAATCTGCTAAAAAAATACTAATTTTCTTATATCTGCGCCCCACATACACCGCGATTCACATCTATCGAGAGCCATACTGGGTCAGGGTCATTCGTTGTTCTATGTTCGCGAAATCTTTGCTAAGGGGAAGTAAAAGACACTATTTACTAATTTCCTTTGTCTACAATAGCTTGAACATCAATTGACGTAATCCGCTATAAAACGAAGAATTTTCTCAATTGATCTCCGTGCCCCAACATCTTTCGAGAGACATACTGTCACGTTTGCGTACACTTTGTTAAAGGTGCCATGTAATTTTCTTCACTTTAATATTTATCAATATGCTACTAAATGACAAATTTTCTCAATAGATCGCGCGCCTGGTACGTGTAAATCAGCCTTTAAGGGGCAGCAAAAACATCTATAGGTAAATAGGTCAGGTACGATTTCGACTGAAGTCGAACTGAAGAAAAAGAATGCAACAATCATCCATATTCGATCACGTAATCACGTACAGTAGAACGCCGATTATCCGAACGCCGATTAACTGAATCGCCAATTATCCGAATCGGTCCTAAGAGTAATATAAAAAATTAAAACCAAGTAATTTTTGATAATTTTATTGGAATTCGGATATATTTCAACTGAGCGTTATTGTAGCAGTTTTACAATAACGCCAAGTAGAAATATATCTGTTTGTTAAACTAATTAGAGTTTGTTCCATGTGTGACAGTTCGTTTTTCTCTATTACCTGTCTATGTCCGATTATCCGAATTTTCGATTATCCGAATCGACCCCGGTCCCAATTGATTCGGATAATCGGCGTTCTACTGTATACGCAATTTAAATTATTTAAAAATTAACACGCTCACAATAATACAATCACGTTCATTGCACTAGTTTGTGCTATTTCCAACGTCTTAGGCACAGATTACTAAATACATAGCCACTGTCTTAAGTCGTATGAATAATTTTTATTATATCGTGAATCCAGATAAGAATAAAATAATAACACGCGGATACATCTACAAAAGTGTCAACCCTTCACTATCACAATACACGAATGGATGAAACAAAAGGAGCTTTTTTCTAAATAATTTTCCATCTCTCATTGGCGCCTACTCAGTCATATCCCACGTGTTTTCATCCCCACGCTCTGCTCGGTCACGCAAAGGGCTTGAAGCCCCTGCTTATGAATCACCTTATTATGACTAGTTAAGAACCGCGGATTCGCCCACATAGGGTTCGCTCTGTCACAGTCACAGAAAGTCTTATGCCCGTTTTCACCATCAATCCCTAATTTTTTAGTGACCCCTATGGAACATAACAGGAATTTTGTTTTCAAAGGGATCACTTAAAAATTAAAATTTTAGGGATTGATGGTGAAAACGAGCTGTCTGCCTGTCTGTCTTGCTTTCACGCCTAAACCACTGAACCGATTTTTATAAAATTTGCCATAGAGATAGTTTGAGTCTCGGGATAGGACATAGGATAGTTTTTACCCCGGTTTTTGAAACAGGCACGCACGCGACAAAGTTTTCCCGTGACAGACAAAATTCCACACGGGCGAAGCCGCGGGCGGAAAAGCAAATAAACTACTTTTAGAGATATTTCTTCTTTCATGAGGGTTCCTTTAAAAATATGTGATTTGATTAGTGGTCTGTGCCAATTTCTTAATTCTAGTTTCTACAGAAGACTTCTTTTAAGATGTTAAGCCATAACTGTATTAATCATATCTTTTGTCCATCAAGCATGTCATCAATGACTCCATTGCAACTTTCAGCTTTCGTGATTCACTTTCAAGGTTTTTCAAAGTTGGTCCAATGATATTTATTTATTTTTTTAGTTTCTTTGTTGTTCACTACGAAATTATGACGAAGCAAGACAATGTCGACATACTAGATGTGACAGCTCATCCAAAAATAACTGGGGGAATAAAAGAGGGGCTTAAGTATGAGCAACCCCATACCTATTAAGGTTAGGTATATGAAAATTCTCATAACGCAATGCAAAAGGTATTTAGCTATGAAATAGTAAAGTTACCGTGCGATGAGGAAGTCATTGGGGGAGGCCTATGTTCAGCAGTGGACGTCCTGTGGCTGAAATGATGATGATGATAAATAAAGTAACATACATTTAGGGCTTTAAATTCTATGATGAATGATAAATTAATTAATAATTTCAAAAACCCTTACACAAAAAGCTTAAGTGAAATCTTGGGTGGCATTTTCTCCCACACAGTTTTGACCTAAAATTTTACTGTAACGGTTCTTACTCTTTGTTTAATCAATTATTAATTTAATTAATTACTTGCGACAGCAATACACATGGAGTCATGGAGTCACAACTGCTTATACAAATACCTATGTGGGAGGGAGCTAGAAAACACTTTATACTAAACGCATCATCATGACAGTGACGATGCACGCGCGATGACGGTGCCGTATGATACGTCACCGTGACGTCACGATGACGTCACGGAGTCAACGGCCTTTGCGAGCTCAAGGGTCTTATCTCAGCCTCAAGCGATATTCAAGCGATTGCGTTCGCTCGATAAATCGAAAGTTTCGACAGCTTGTGATATTTTTCATAAATTAGGCAACAAGTGCTTATCTAGATGTAGATAATCAAACACAATGTATGAAATAAAGGTGAATAAAATAGAAAAAGCAGAGGTATTAACAAATTTTTTCTTTTTTTTTCTTCTCATTGTATAGATCGTGATTCGTGTCATCCCCGAAGACGCGCCCCACCATTCTTCCGCTAACGTTTGAGTGTTATCGGTACACGCTAAATTATCCATGAGTGCACAATGCACACGCACACTACAATAAAATGACGCTCGGATTGATCGGATCTCCCCGCACCCCGCGTTTCCCTCAACTAAAAATTGCTGGGGCGCGTCTTCGGATGGCCCGATCTATTGTAAATAAAATTTAACAGGCCGAAAATAATGGTTTGCAGCTTCCATCGCGAATTCGCAAGTAAAACTGTAGGGTGATGTCATATAATTTTATGGAGGTTAGGGTGAGAAAGAGAAAAGTAAATTAATTTTACGAATGTTAAATTCAATGTCAGTGTTGACAAACTAGCAAATGCCTCTGAGCATTTTTTATCCCTAAAAAAATCTATTTTAACCCTACTCTTAGGTTAATTTCTAAACCTTGGACCTACGTAGTCCGAAATAAAAAAATAAAAATAATTTGATTGGATATAACGCGGCTGACGTCATGACCCGATCGGCCGGTGCACTCGTGACCCAGTATTGGAGCCTCGGAGCCTGGCTCTCTAAGTAGGTCACGGGGTATCATACACCGCCCTACCTGTTGCGCCTTGGGCGGTGTACAAAAATATTTTTATGTATTTTCATGGTAAATAAATATACAACTGCACGCAGGAAGATTTAATGAAAACGCCTTTACGAAGTCGAATCAGAAATTAAGAGATCCGTAAACGAATTAAAGTCGCTGACATAGCCCGACGGATTAGCAAGCTGAAGTGGCAGTGCACATAGTACGCAGAACTGACGGCCGATGGGGCAGCAAGGTTCTGGAGTGGAGGCCACGTACCGGAAAGCGCAGCGTAGGGCGTCCATCCACAAGGTGGACTGACGACCTCATATTGGTAGCGGGAAGGCGCTGGATGCAGGCCGCCACCAACTGGCCATTGTGGAAATCATTGGTTCAGCATTGGACGTCCTATGGCTGAAATGATGATGATGCCTGAAAACGCCACTCTTGTGGCGGAGTTTTGGGCTGAGACTGTATAGGTTTGTTGTCGACACGATAAGAAGATTAAACAAAAAAATCCTGAATGCTTGGACGTATTTTGGAGGCGTACGAATATAAATTAATTAATTTTATGACTTTCTAATTTCGAGTGTTTTAAAAATAAACCCCCTACTTTTTTCGATGGGCTAATTGAGTAATTTTAAATGTCTCTTGACAGGTAATTAAGTCTGACACCGAATGATGGTCTGAAGAATTGACCAGTTGATGCCACCAATCAATTGACACACTTTTTATTAGCTGTCCAAACGCGGAACTTATGACGTCACTGTTCGTCATCTCAATTTAACTGTTTATTGATTTTA